GTTTTGCAGACATAACAATGACACTAGCCAAACCAGTTAAACAAAAATAATTCTCAGCAGTTACAAAAAAAAGTCTGAAACTGAAAAATGCACAGAATTATTCAATCACACAGTGTTCAGAAAATGCATTTTCCACTATTCTGCACTTTAGATGGCTGTATCGATACTTTTTAAAATGAGTATTGTATCCGGATACAACGTTTCAGTATCGATACTTTTGACAACCCTAGTTAGTGGTGTCCGATCATCATTTTGATTACCCAGTCCGAAACGAAGGAGGGATGTTTCTCAGATAGTGTACACACAGAATTAAACCTCTTTAAGTATTAGCAGAATTTATTTCAGTCATCATCCACTCATTGATATAAGCATATATTGCAGAGGATCATCTACCTTTCAGGCCAGCCTGACCACTGCGATAATAAAGTGACCCTGATCTTAGGTCTTCTCATCTATATATCTCACAGTTGGACCTTTTAGGACTGTTATCTAAGTCTCTCAGAGTCTTAACAGTTGTACAGAATCGATACTACTCCCAAATAAGTTAATAGAAAATGGTGGATGAAGTTTCACTGAAGCAGACCTGTAAGCTTTCACATAAAACACAGGACATGAGCAGACCTATACATTAAGCAGTAACACAAAATAATGAAGAAATTAACCTTCAACAGTGTAATATTCTGTCTGATGAGAACAGACAGAACTTAAGAAAAAAAATATATCTGTTGATGCTTGGAAGGATTAATAAAATCTGCTTTAATGAAAACCACCAATCTTATTCTTGTTGAATAGGATAATACATTTTTTTTCCAATAACAGCAGTTATTTTGGCTTAAGCATTAGCACTGTTGCTTAACTAGCTTAGGCCGAACTAAAACTGAACTAAATTCTTGCTGAATACGGATGTTCAATGAAAGCTTCTTGGAGTTTGATCCTGTAAATCAGCTGCCTGAAATCAGTATTGTACCCGCAACAAATACATTTTTATAGCAGTCTCTCTTTACAGAAATATATACGTTTTATTGCAGCAGGGAGATGAATAGCAGTCGAGATTTGGACTCCAGTGGAACTTCCAGATTTAGCTGCTAAGACATGCTAATTAGACTAAATTCATGCTAATATAGCCTACGGAGCAATCAAAGCGCTTTTACCCTGTAAGTTTTCACCAGCAGCAACAATCACAGGTTCTTGGTACAGTTTTTATGTATGAGAAAGGTTTAAAGAGTTTTGAAGTTTAAATTGGTTTCTAATTTTATTTAATTTTGACCTCTGATTTTCAATTCTATTACAGTTTTAATTCATTTTTTAGTATTTTATTATTTAGTTTTTATTTTCCGTTTTTGTCTGTTTTGTAATAAAACTTTCATAAGGGCGGCAAGACCAAAAAATAATGAAAAATCCTAGGTAAGAACAGACCACTGCAGCAACACAAATGACCTGACGTACTGTACCTGCCACCTACTGGTGTAATGTGGTCCATAAAAAAAAATGCGAAAACAGTAACCGGAAGTTAGACCTCGTAATAATGCACTGTGATAAAGACGTAAAGGAAAACTCACCACATTCTTTCTTAAAATTCAGTTAGTCTTAATTTGTTTTGTAAACTCTTATTAAAAATAAAGTTTCAGTTAGTTTTAGTTTTTTGCAAGGTCTGTTTTTGTTTTCAATTCAGTTAATGTAAATGTTTTTTAATTCTAACTCTCGTCATTTTGTTAGTTTTAGTAAATGAAAATGGTTATGAATATATATAAAGCTCTGTTTATTAGCCTGTAAATGGAGGGCTGAAATCAACAGTAAATAGGTTCATAACAATGTGTGCAGTGTTAGATTGTCCTCAGACATAAGTGGAAAAATGTTCAGAATGCTGGAATTTTGATCACGACTCATTTGAGGGGTTATATAAAGGCTTGGCTTCTTCGTGGAGAACAAATTAAATGAGTGATGACTTAACGCTTTTGCTCACTACTGCCCATCCTTAAGGTTATCAATATTAAAGCAGTCATTGAAATATTTTTGTTTGTGACAGACTTTTGCCAGGTGGAGCTCCGCTTGCTGGCTCACTTCTCCTCCGACCCTGAGCTTCTCCACATTTTTACCAACCCGCAGTCCGACGCCTTCACCATGCTGGCCTCTCAGTGGTAGGTCTATCTGACTCTAGTGCACCTTTATTTCCCAGCCAAGAAAACTGTTGCCACTCTGCTAGGCCTCTCTCTCAGTCGTCTTCTCTCAGACTCACAATCTCCTTCACTTCACACAGTAATATCAACCACACCAACGGACTCGGTTTCCATGCCCTAGGAGGGTCCTGTGATGGTAGCCTTGGTGATCACCTAGTTTTGCTGTTAGAAATGAAAAGGATTGCTGTGTTTTCCTCCTTTTCTCTTACGTGTGTAGTTTGAATTTGCTCACTAGTTTCATTATTTCTGATCCTGCATATAAGTTGTGTGTTAAAATGACCAGTTAAGCAGATTAACACATTAACAGCTCTTTTCAGACTTCACACCGTCACTGCACTGATCTCTTTTCACCTTTAAGACTTTCAACTGGTGTCACTTGAGCTAGACTTGGGATTACTGGGATTACTTCCTCTCTCAATAGAGTCCGTTTCATCTGATCCTTTTACTTTCACCGCACAAGATCAACAAAAAACACTTTTTTTAAAGGTTCTTGCTTCCTCATCCTTCAGTTGTCAAAAAAATTGTAATAAACAACCTTTTGTTACCAAGCTTTTCTCTGTTACCAAGTGTATTTTGGAAAAAAAAAAATCTACCACCATTCTAAAAAGTTTGCCATTTATTCCTTGCTTTACCTTCCTCGGGAAATATCTAAAATAAATAAGAAATTGAAGAAAAGCTCAACCTTACTCTCATCTGACTAAATGCAGTTTTGTTAATGTCCCAATAGGTTTATTTATCTCAGAAAACACTGACATTTGTTTTGGTAGGTCAGAAAAAACTTTTGCCAAATCTTGCAAACAAGTAGCTTGCATGTAGACGACATCTATTGGTTGCCCATTTTTTTATTCTCTTCTCTAACATTGATCCTTGAACTACTTTTATTGGTGCTTTAACCAATTCCCTCAGCTTTGTTTACATTAGCTTACATTGTTTTAGACTCTGTTTCTCTGACTATAAATACGGGAGGGTTAACTCTTTCCTTTACTTACATCCTGTTTAAAAAGCATTTTCTCATGCCATTCCTATTTTAAAGAGGGGCTAGCTTTTTCATCTTTATTCTATCCTGAAAAAGGTAATAGATAAATAAGTAAAAATACCTAAAACTTAGATCAGCCTCAAAGGTTCTGATAAAAATATTGGTTAGTCTTATTTTTTAGGAAGTGCAATGAAACTATGTATTTTTCTGACTTTTTAAACGTGTGGAGAGTGTTGGTTCCCTCAGCCATAATCTGCTGAAAAAAAGGCAGTTTAAACCGATTTTAGTTCTTTATTCCCTATTGGAATATTGATATCATTGCCCAATAAGAAATGTGTATATTACCTGGTAATCCTGTGCACTAGGGGTATATGCTCATCTTTAGGATATTGAGACTGCCTGTTGACCACTTTATAACAGAGGAACATGTAAAGATACCAGATTTTTTTATTTTATTCCTGTTTTTACCAGCCGTGGGGTGTTTAGGATCTTCAGACACACCAGTCATGTTGTGTCTGCTTGTGTGTGTGTGAGGCTGTCTGTCAGCACTGAACAGCGACAGCAGCTTCTCTTAAGCCCCTCCAGAAATGCCACTTTGCAGACGTGTCATCCCACCCTGTCTGAGCCTCAGTACTACGAGTCACATCCCATAACCGTCACTCCCTGTCCATCTCTCCCTCCTGCTTTTTACTTCCAGTAGTCCATTATGTTCCATTTTGACTTCACAGCTTTGCATTTGATTTTGCTTTTGTGGTAATGCCTGATATGTCTGCTCATAACTTTCAATACACTTGGCTTACATTAAAGAATTTGGTAAAGCCTAGATGATGATGTCATGGCTTTGTGATCTTGGACCGGGTTAGTTACAACACTGGAGTTATGAGACACACTCCCGTGGATGTATTAATAAGGCAGCATCTCAGACGCACTGCTTCCTTGGGGGAGAATGTTAACAAAAATTGAAAGAAATCAGCAAAAGTGTCATGAGTTGAACTGGCCATCTGCACGACTGGGTTACCCTTGGGTTCAATTTCCAGATGTGCTTCATTTGCCTGTTATTCTCAAGTATAAACACCAAAGAAATGTCCATGGGCTGAAAAGCCACTCAGCAAGGAGGAAGACACTGTTAAAGTGCTCAAAGGATTAAAATCGGAGACACGTCAAAGTAAACTCTCTAGTCATAAGAATGAGCGATGCATTGAAGGCAAAAATCACGAGAAAGCATGCCAATTATAAAGTACGGGGGTTGCAGCATCATGATGTTGGGTTCTCTGAAGATAGTTGCACATCATTAAATATTTGTAGCGATATGGAAGCAACATCTCAAGACATCAGCCTGGAAGTTGCATTTTGGGCAGAATTAAAAATCCCAATGAAACAGAATCAAAAGCATATTACTAAATTAGTTGCAAAGTAATAGTTGGGAGGATGTTGGCCTAGTGATTAGAGCAGTGCGCATGTGCTCTGAGAAGGTTGCAAGTACCTGGTGTCGATCCCCACAGCCTCCACTCTCGGTCCCTGAGCAAGACCCTTAACCCCACACCCAGGCGCCGCGCAATGGCAGCCCACTGCTCCGCAAGGGGAATGGGCTAAAATCTGAGGTAAATTTCTCCAATGTGAGACCAATAAAGTTCAGTTATTCAATTATTATTAATTTAATGATAACAAAGTCTATGTTTAGGGGTGGCCATCAAAGAGTCCAAATCTTGCTCCTATAAAATGAGCTTAGGTAGAGCTGAAAAGGTTTGTGTAAGTAGGATAGCTGACAAACTGCCTCAGTTACTCTAGTCCTGTAAGAAGGAAATTACCAAAGCTATATCAAAAACTTGTAAGATGTTTTTGAAAGATTATCCAAAATGTTTTACCCAAGTCATGCAGATTGAAATGATTTTCCTTCTAATGCCAAGGAAATACATCTAACTTTTTGGATTTAAAACAAATATCTTACTACTTTGACATTTAATGAATTCAAACAATTTTTGAAATCCTGAAAGAAAAAAACAACAACAACCTGCCTTTGCAATGTTAATATCTCACTACCACATCACTCAGTTCTTTTAAAAAGGTTGACATTTTATTTTTTTTTTTTAAAGGTGAAAGTTGTTTTTGTTGTCACCCAGGAAAGGGAAGAGTGTGGATGAGGTGACCCCGGAAGATCGAGAACATGCCAAGCGGGTTGTCTATTCAGTGGTTTATGGAGCAGGTCAGTATTTACCGCCACTGACTCCCACTAAATTAGGAGTAAACAGGGATCCCATTTCATTATAAATAGATAAGAAAATTAGTTACTTGATGAGAAGATTAGAATGACAGTTAAATGTAGACAGAAATATGTTTTTTAGTTACCATAAGTGTTTTAGCCTTCTAAGAGAGCTGTTAGCAGATAATTTGGTATGAGGTTGACGATTAAAGGTATAGTGCAGGATTTTTTCGAGCATTTTTGAAAAGATCTGCCCTCTCCTCTTAAAAAAAATGCACATGCACAACACTGTTCCCGCTTCCGAGAGGGAACGCCTATTAAACACGTGTGAGAGCGTGCATGAGCCTATTTATTCTCGTGCACGCTCTGTTTAAAAGTTGCTGTTTGCATTGCTCGTTCAATGCTTTCCAAAAGACTATTTGCATTTTTTCCACTGTGTCAGACTCACCACCGATAAGTGAAAATGGGGACGAGCACGTAGGACGGCCTTACGTAAACATATCACTAGAATGATTGACAATTAGGAGGACCGCTTAGTTTGATGATCCACCTGGAAAAACAACATCCTCCACTATACCTTTAAATGAAAAATCATGTTTCTTTCACCTACTGTCAAAGACTGTTTCTCTTATTTATTGTCTCTGATTTGTTTTATGATAAGTGCTCTATAAATAAAGTTTGGCTGTTTGACTTAAAGCACATGCTGCACATTTTGTCACCATACTAACATGGGACATTTCCGAAAAGCCAAGATGAGAAAAAAAATCTTTGAAAGGGCTTTAAAAAAAAAAAAGAACCTTAAGAACTATTGATCCTGACCACTTTAAGAGATTACAAAATATTGACATTTAGAAGTAAGGTATTAAGATTTAAATAGAGATTTCATGCACTCATGTGGAAGAACAGAAAAATCTACAAGACGTTTTACCAATACCTTATTGCTAGTTAGTTTAACCGTCTGTGTTAGGTAACTGTTTTAATAATTTCTGGGTATTGGCTACTATGCACCATATCTAGTGTTAATGTTTACTTTAAAAGCCATTTTTACCTATAAAAAGCACAGCAATACTGTTCATATTTGTCTTTAGTTCTGAAAAAATGCAATTTGTTCCAACTCCTTCTCACTAATATGATGACTGGAATAAAATGGTAGAAATCTCTATACATTAATTTTTACATTAAAACTGCATATTACCGAGTTACATTTGATCCTTGCATGATGTGACCACTTAGAAAACAAATTAACAAAGAAAAGGTGAAAATAAAAAAGTTCAGTTATGATATGTTCACAATATTCAACATATAGCAATGTATTCATAAAATTTAAAAAGTTTTTAAAATAAAATGTAGATTGCAAAATGTAGTATTTGGACCTTTTATGAATTGAAAAGAAATACTGAAAAGAAAAAGTGTAATTAAGGTTAACTACTAATGACATAATTAAATGCAGAGCAGCACTTTTATAAATTTAGGTTGAAATTTTCAATATTTTTAAGAGAGATTATTTTATTTTCATGAAAACCAAACATGTAGAGGGAAATTTAGAGTTAAAGGTCTCTGAAAGAAAATATTTTGGGTGAATGTGGAAGAGTAAAGAGACACAGAGAGGGGGAGGATTAGAAGAGATCCTGATCAGCATAGACAGACCACTCTTTATAGAGGGATGCGTTGCTATGGTTACTAAATACCAAGGAACGCTCTCTATGAAGACAATCAGGCCAGGGAGGAGGGGCGAAACAGCAGCAGCGCTGTGCCCTCATACACAGACGTATGTACACAAATAGGTCAGAAAACGGGGGGCAAAACAAAGATGGTGGGCAACACAGTGGTTTCCTGGAGGTTAGACATAAGTTAACTAGATATTCAGGCTTTACTTTATTCGATAGGTCTCAGTTTATTTACATAATTTTAATTAGGTATTTTATTTGCTCTTCCTTTGTAGAAATTACCTACAAGAGCAAATCTGTAAGGTGTTTTTGTTATCAAAGTATAGGTTTTGAGAGTATAAGGGCCTAAAAGCATGCAGAAAGTAAGGAGGAGAGAAATTATAAACTAGTGCAGTGCCAGAGAAAGCATCACAGAGGGTATCGGTAATAAAGGTTAAAGTTCACTCCAGAGCTGACCTCATTCAGCAGGAATGTGGGGCCCTGCATACACATACCAGCACACAGAACACAACAGGTCCAAATAAAGGACCTCTACAAGCACCTTGTCACATTTAAATTAGCACTGTGACTTCATATTCAGTTAATATTACAATGATTTCAAAAATGCATCCACGAATTTTATCAGATATCTTCAGCCTTTTTTCTTGTTCTATTTCCAGACAGCCCCTCCTATCTGCTTATTTATTTAAAGTTCACATTTATTTACTTTAATACCAAATAATGACTTCGCATCTTTTTGGGAACAGTTGTGTGGGGATTTGTCTTTCATTTTAGAAGTCGTTTCGTATCCACTTAAGTTGAGTCATACTAAATAATTCAGTATATGTTTTCATTATATTCCCCACATGACACATTTATCTCAGTTAACTATTAACGATCAACAATGATAATTAAGGATCTATTAAAAAAAAAGAATCTTTAACTAGAACCACTTTTGTTAGAAGAGGTAAAGCAAAAACTTTACCAAAAGGACTTGGAGTTCTTAACTTATTATAAAACACAAGTCTGTTGGTTTACAAACACAATAGAGACCAGTCTGCAAAGAAATACATAATCAAAATAAAAATAAAAAAGTGGGAGTAGTTTTACATTTGTGTATTTCTATTATGGTTTAAATATAATTTGAGTGTTTCCTCCATATTACAGTAGCCATGGTTCATAACCCCGGTTCATGTTTTTCGCTGTAGGTCGTGAACGTTTGTCAGGGATATTAGGGGTGAGCTCTGAGCAGGCTCGTCATTTCCAGGACAGTTTCCTCCGGACCTACGGGGACGTCCAGGCCTTCATCCAGAGAACCATCCAGCAGAGCCACAAACAAGGTATGTGTTACCACCCATATAAAGCAGTGCTAATAGTTTGCCTATCTGAAATCCACAATTCATGTAGATCCTGGTAACTGAGTTTTGCTTTATTATATTCATGAAAGAAATATGTTATTTAGAATTATATGGAGATTATGAAAAAGACGAGACATGAAGAGCACATTTCAAAAGGTTGCAAGAAGAGTCTAGCCTTATTAAAGGCCATAGAGCTTTGTGTGGTAGCGCCCTCATACCAGCTGTTTAGCATGGTGGTGAAAGGTTCATGATTTGGCCATTGGCTCAACTATGACAACCTCTTTGTATATCAAAGGTGTTAATGTTCAAACGGAGGCCATTTATCTGACAGATAGCAGGGACTAAACTGAATAATGATCTCAAACAGCATCATAAAGGAGGAATAAACTAATAAAGAATAGGTCAATTAAAGCTGGAATGTAGCTAGCTTTAACTGGCCTAACAGAGCTGTACAGCAATAGGAAAACATCTGCTTTAAAATGTTGCCTCTACAGCTGGTCCTCTAAGCCGCTGAATCACAGGGCTTACCCAGTTATTCCCATGTCTGTGCTCACTGTGAATTTCTTACACCATCATGTCTATGTAAGTGTTTGGCTAAAGAGTCAGGAGGATGTGCTTGCATTGGCAGGAATGAGACAAACTGCCTCTGGTCAATACTTGAAGGGTGGTTCAAGAAGCACGGGTTGGACTGGAGAGGTTTGATGGTTCCGACGGGACACTTTATTTATATATTCAGGCTGAACTGCCAGCACAGCACACCTCAGACTTGCACATGCTCACATAAAATAGTGTAAAGTCTGCACTTTAAACTCTCACTGAGCACAACACAGAGCGGAAAGGAAGAGTAACGATGTCACAAAGCACCACATTTGAGCCGGTAAATTCATTCTAGACAATCTGACTTAAAAAGATAAGCCTGCAGTCAAACAGTTTCACCTCTCTTATTTGTTGTTGATGCTCTGTGCGGCTTGTCTTGCCCACATAAAAGAGTGTGAAGTTCAGATATGAATTATTCATTCTTATGATGTCTTGGTAGGTTTTTTCTGCATGGCACGCTGCCATGCTGGCATTCATTAAAAAACAATCTTATTTTGTGTCTAGTATTTTTTCTTCATACTTCTTGCAGCTCCTGCAATTTCTGCAAACACTCTTCTCTAGTCACACACAAAGCCAGGCCGCATCACCCTACGCAGCGTCACACCCCAATCCTCGCTCTGCACGTCCCCTTTCTCTGCAGGCAGCTCCTTGATCGATGATATGTAATAAAACGCTGTGCACAGATCAGAGACCTCCTCCTTTTCAGGGGTAGAACAATATGAGCTGAACTAGCGGTCAGTTGATATCTCTACAGTCAGGAAATATCCGTTGGGTTTATTTACACCACTTGCTGCTCCTGATTCTGCTGCTTGCTTCTTTTCACTTTCTTATTATCTCCCCGGTTGCTGATTTTTTTAAGCTGTCCCAGCTTTATCCCACCCTGGGAGTGAAGGTTTAACAGTCCTTGGTTGGCAGAGGACTTGAACCTTGACATTAAATGGTCTGACTGGGAAGAATGTGTGCCCTTGTTTCAAGTTTATAGTTTGTACCTGATGAGCAGTAATTTGTCCTGAAGAGTGGTTAATGGCAGTGTAAGCAGGGATGAGGGGAGTGTTGCAGGCTCTGCTGCTGTCATATGTACAAAATATATTTTAAGACATTGTGAAGGTGAGCAAGTCTCTCAATGTGGCTAAATAGGTTGAGAGGGAAGGGAACAAGCAAGGCAGTTAGCTCGACACATAAGAAGGAAAAAAAAAATCAAAATAGTTTATTGATTTTTTTTTCATTCAGCTGAGTTGTTCTTTTTTCTCTTGTGTGTGTTGTCTTGAATCCTGTTTCATTTGTTTTCCTTGATGTTAAAATGTTCTACAGCCAACTCTGTGGGCAAGACAGCTGTTGCTCTTTAGATGATGCAAATTTCTTAAAAGCTGTTTGGATAAATGCCAGAGCATCTCTTTTCAGAATGTCAAACATAATTTTCAAACGAAAGATTTTATCTTTCTTATCTTTCTTTCTTTAAAGTCCCAAAGGCTTACATTTTTAAACCTTTGTTGTTCGACACACATAGTGTCTGGAGACATCTAAAGGATTTAAATGGTCAAATATTTACCTTATTATATTTATTATAATAGACTTAAAAGCAGAAAGTTTATTTTATATATGTATATATATATATATATATATATATATATATATATATATATATATATATATATACAAGGTACAAACAAGGCGACATTTATGATCGTTGTTTATTCCTTTAAGTAATTTCCCTCTTTAAGTAATTTCCCTCTGGGATTATTAAAGTATTTCTGATTCAGATTTTTTACTCTGATTGTTTATGTATTCGTCGCAATAAATAGTCAAATATTAGAGATACACTAATCTGAAAAGCTGGGCCATTATTAAATATTAATATTGGTGTTTTGGCTGAAAATTTATATTTGCTCACATATTTCCCGATATCAATATTTTGAAAAATGTGCAGTATCACTTACTGGTGTCAATGCCAATATAGCTAACAAACACTGAACTCATTAATATTCGTGCTATTATAATATAGTAGTTCTATATGGTTTGATTGGCACTGGAGCTGGAAATTATTTCAATGAAGCAATTCCTTGCAGCTATCTACATTTTCATATACCCAAAATTTTTATCGAGGAGGAGTAGTAACAATCTTTCATTCTAACTTACTGATTAGTCAAAAGTCAGTTAATAATTACAATTCTTTTGACCATCTAACCCTTAGTTTTCCCACTTCCAATTGGAAAGCAAAAAATTTTTTTATTTTTTTTTACTTTGTATCATCCATCTGGTACCTACTCTCACATTTTAGATCAGTTTTCAGAGTTCCTATTTGAATTGGTGTTAAGTACTGAGTCATAGAGAGGAAATTAAACATCCATGCTGACATTAAAGGTGATAGCTTAAATGCATCCTTCCATGCTGTCTTAGACTCCATTGGCTTTGTTTAAAATACGAGTAGTCCTACACATTCTCATCTTCATACTTTGGACCTTGTGCTGACATATGGCATTGAATGTGAAGGAATAACAGTATTTCCTTACAACCCTATCCTGTCTGACGAAATTAACACTGATTCCCAACACATGTCATCTCAAGGAACATCTCAGAGACAAATCAACCTGATCATACAGTCAAATTGATTCAAAGTTTTATAAGGAGAACCAGCTGATTGCATCAACTCATTAACCCAAAAGTTTTTGCTGCGAGCTTGTTCAGGAGGAGCATTTCTTTTAAGTCAATGACTGAATGCAGTCAACTGGTTTTCGTAACCAATCTGACAGTATTGTCTCTATAAAGGGCCTTGAGTTGACATATGTTGTGAATTGGTGCAATATAAATAAACTGAATTGAATATCTTAGTGACTTAAACTATGTATCTTGATATACGTTTTGGCCCTATTGTGCAGCCTTCACATGCCCCAAGAGCCTCATACCTATATAGTAAGCTAGTGTTTGTACTGACATTGTCAACAGTGACATTGTGCTAACACTAAATTCAGGATGTATTGAATGGCCCTGGCAATTTGGGTCCTTAAGACTTTTCATGAATCTTTTAATCACACATCACAGAAGGGTGTCATACTTATTTGTTAAAGTCTTTCAAAAACTTAAGGAAGTTGGCAAGATACATTGTTTCTTTTGTTAAAATAAGGCCATCATTAAAAATATAATTTCCTAAACTTGAGTGGGAATTCATTTCAAAAAACCAACTCAAAGTGTTTCAAAAATCAAAGTTTCCATTCAGCTTTCATAAAATTCCTTCTTTGGAAAAGTGAGAAGTGGGAAAGTATTGTTTTTATTAGAAGTGAAGAAAAATTTCAAATAAAAAAACAGATCCAACTGTGGATTGTTTTGGTTTTTAGCACCTATCCTCTTGTTTAAACCATAAATCAATCTAAAAATAACCCTTGGGGGGAAAAAACAAATTTGTTTTGTTTTTTGCTGTCCATGCAAAACAACAGTAGGGTTTTGAAAAACATTCCAGTAGGACTCAGGTCATACCTGTCTGATGACAGAAACGCTGTCTGTGGTATTCTGTGACTACAACTCACTAGACGTCATCATTACTGAGCCCCAAAACAAATGATCACATTCCTTGTAAATGGTCACACGCATGTTTCATAAGTCAACTCACAAAGAGCAGCCGATTTGGGTGTGCTGCTATCTGTTTTCCACCCCATTTCTAATACAATAGTTGATGTTATTGTGCATAATTGTGTGTGTAGGTCATTCAGGTTTCATGTCCTGGGTGGCTTAGCTCCGAGTAAGGGCTACTGGAGGGATTTAGGTGTAAAGCCTGATCCATTGTCCAGTTTGGTGGAATGTACTAGTCAACCATATGTGCAGGCATGTGTTGTTTTTGCATACTTGCATATAATAATGTTTGCTTCTGTCCACGTGTTATTCATAACAACTTTTTGCCAACATGCAAATCGCTATGTGCAGCATTAAACTAATACTACACATCTACCTTAACACCACATACTAACTGAGACACATAATGGTGGCAGCATTATGCTATGGGATTTTTTAAAAAAATTGTAAAGAAAAAAACATTTTCAGGGTATGTTTAACAGATGCGTTAAAAGTGTTTCTGCCTTTCTGCTTTTGGTTCATAGCAACCATAGATCACAGATAGTTAGAATCCTCTCTAGCTACTGGAAAAAATTATTATCAGGTGAGCAACAAAGTTTTATGTAAAAACCAGCTTCCAGCTGCTGATTTGGCAACCTACCAGCTTGGTTGTTCTTTTAACTTCTACCAAATAAAGTGCAGACTTGGAGAGACCTTCATACATGGAACTTGATATCTACTGTATTGTAGCTCTTTGCGATATGCATGTTTCCTACAGTATTTTGCATTTCTTGTTGGTATATGTTTAGCAGTAATCAGGGCTGAAAAAAAATAATTATAGGAACAAAGAGCAATTAGAGGCAACAGAAGATTGAGACTGAAGTAGAGGTTCATCTTCCCACAGATATACTCTTAAAATGCAGCCAAAGCTACAACAACATTATTCAGATCTAAGTTTTTCTAGCTGTTGGAATGGCTTGATCAAAGTTCAGATTAAAGAATCTGTGGCAAGTGCTGAATTTTAAAGAAAGTTCTTCGTCTGATGTAAGAGAGCTTGTATTATTAACAACTTTTAGCTTCTGCATCTACAGACATACTTTAAAAGATTGTAGCTACAATCATAGCATAGGGGATTTAGGTTAGCATGCTGAATGATTATGCATTTAGTACATTTCATACTATTTTTTTTATGTTTGAAATACAATTTTTTCCCAGTGCTGTACTACTTTTGTAACATACATAAAATACACCGGATGTTGTGGCTGTGATGTTGCAAATGCACAGAAATCAATGGGTTAAATGGTTTCATAAAGCAATATGTATATGGTTTATCATGGAAACTGTCACAAAACATAGACATTGTGTGCTTTTTGTCTTGTTTTTTGTTATTCTAGGCTATGTGGTGTCTTTAATGGGCCGAAGACGTAACCTCCCCAACATCAACTCCCCAGACTGGGGGGTCCGCATGCAGGCTGAAAGACAGGCTGTCAACTTTGTGGTTCAGGGTACGACCTCTGAAACTTAACCACTTGTCAGAACCGGTTCTACGCTGTTCAGTTCGACCCTGAGATGCAGGGGTCCTAATCGATCTGGAAATATCTTGAATTTGGTGAAAATATAATTTTTAAATCGAGTAATGTTTACACAGCGAGAATATAGTTGAAAAATATTTGTTGCTTAAAAGTCTAGAATTTTATTTATCCATCTAGGCATCTATTCATTCATCTGCCATCCATCTATTTAAACATCCATCCATCCACCAATTCATCCACCAATTTATCCATCCATCCATCCATCCAAAAATCTAATAATTCATCAATCATTCAACTTCCATATATTCATCTATCCACCATTCATCCACTCCTCTATTATCCATCCATCCCATGATCTATTCCTTTATCTCTCATCCATGTAGTCATCCATCTATCATCCATCCATTCATTAATCCATCCAAACAGCTATTCATCCAGGTATTAATCCATCCATTCATCTATCCACCATTCATCCACCAGTCACTCTATCATCTGCCCATCCAAAAATCTGTTCATTCCCCTGTCATCCACATATCATTCATCCATCTTCTATTTATTTATCCATCCATAATTTTTCCATCCATCCAACAGCTTTCCATCTCTCCATTAGTATTGTCATCCATCCATCTATCCAAACATGTCATCCACCCAATTATCCATCCACCCATCCTTTACTTTAATCATCCACCCATCCATCTTTTTATTAAACTATCTATCCATCCATCCGGGAATCATCAATTTATCCATACACCCATCCATCCACCCACTCCTCCAATCGTCTATCCATCCCTTTATCTATCATCCATCCATTCATCCATCATCAATCTATTCATCCATCCACCCATTCATCAATGCACCCATCCATGCAAAATTCAAATTATTAATCTATCATCCATCTATTCATCCATTCATCCTAACACCTATTCATTAATCAACCATCCATCTATTTATCCATCCAAACAGCTGTTCTTCCATCCATCAACCAAACATTTATTCATCCATCCACCATCTTATCTTTTCATCCACCCATTCATCCATCTATCTACCATCCATCTATATATCCACCCATTTATCCATCCACCATCCCTCTATTCACCCACCCATTCGTCCATCAACCCGCCATCTATCTATCCACAATCCAGCCATCCATTCCATCAATTTTCCATCTATTCATCCATCCATCTATCCATCCACCATCCATCCGTCCATTCCATCCATCCTCCATCTATTTATCCATTCATCCATTCCATCTCTAAGGTCATGCTGAACTTGTCTAACTGTATTTTGAAATTGTGAAAATTATACTGGGCCTAAATGACATTGTCACTGTGGTAATGTGTTCATGATTTCCATTTCCAGGTTCAGCAGCTGATCTCTGTAAGATGGCTATGATCTCAATCTTTAACCAGGTCTCCTCCTCCTGCTCGCTCTCTGCCAGGTACCAACAATAAAAACACCTTTGCAGTGCTGAATCCTCTCTTGGTGTAAAAAGACCCAACAGTGATCCAGTATGCATTGGATCTCCAGGTGCTCTCTTGTTGTATCACTGGAGACCATCTGACTGAGTCTTGCACACCAGAACACAGAGACAACACTCCCAGGTTTCTCATCCAAATACATTGGTTGAGACTGAGTGCTGCTGCCAAACATTCAGCTAGAGTAAACACACTCCAAGTAGGAGCCAAATTCATCAGTCAGATCATGTGTTAGCAGAGCAATGTGCAAAACAAACAAACTCTGGTTCCTTAAAAAATAAATAAATAAGGCACTACTTTACTTGGTCAGTTGCTGTTTTTCAGGAGAACAGTGCCTTATGTGTCTCTATTTGTCTCTGTTACTGCAGGCTTTTAGCACAGCTTCATGATGAGCTTCTTTATGAAGTGGAAGACTCTCAGGTGGAGGAGTTTGCAGGTAAATAAGTTTCATCTTAACAAAAAAAGAACAACAGAAAGAAAAAAAAAAAAGATCAAATGTATTTAAACCTCGTCGTAAGAGCTTTTTATGATAGCACATACAAAAAAACAGCTTGGACACACTCGTATGTGTTATTATGTGCAGCTTTGGTGAGAAGCACCATGGAGTCTCTTCAGGACATCCACCATCTAGGAGTTCATCTAAAAGTGAGTTGAGTGGATAACAAAATACATGTTTCAATTTTTTTTTTTTTCTTTTTTAGGGAAAATTTTATATTTGTTTAGGATCAACGAACTGGATGATTTCAGTGCAAAAGATGTCATACCTTCTTGCAGTTGGAATGCTGATGCATTTAAGCAGCACTCCAACTACAGTTTGTTCTGGTGCGAGCCGACAGAACTGAAAAAGACTCCTGGATAGTTGTCAAAACGTTTTCAGAAAAAAGCATATCTGAAGTGCAGTTGCCTTCCAATTTAAGCCTGTTTTATGATTGCCATGACCTGGATGATTGAGAATCTGCACAGGCAAGGAGGTGCATTGTTGAGTACTGAAATGAAATAAGTCACCTAATTAGTTATAAGAGTTTGTGTGTTTCATTAAATCTCTGCTTAAAATACGTTCATTCTGTAAAGATCTGAAAAAAGCTTTTTGTATTTTTTGCAAAACCTGCGTCTCCTAATGGGAGGAATATTTTTGTTACTTGTAATTGTCATTTTTGATGTTGTTCTGCGATGCATGAGTGTGGAAAGTGAACAAAGAACCTCTAATGACTGCTGTGCATGACAGGCAATGACATTATTCCTCCACTGTGTGTTTCCCAGGTGCCCCTGAAGGTGGCAGTCTCCATTGGCAAGTCCTGGGGATCCATGTCGGAGCTTCACACTCCACCGTCTGTCTCCCAAACTCCATCTTCCTCCTCCCCCTCTCCCGCTCCACCATGATTATTTAACTAACCATTTCTGTTTCTTATGCTCATAGTTTTCCTCTGGAGCCTTTTTTTCTTCCCACACACCCATCTTTTTTAACACCTCTATTTATCCCTTTTTCTCTCCTCCTTAACTGGTCCAGCATCCACGTCACTATGGAAACCATGCAGCTGCAGCTTGTGGTCCTTGCTTCCCTCTATCTGTTTCTGGGGGCAACCGCTGACTGGATTGGACCAGTTCTGTTTCTCTCTCTCTCTTTATCCTGTAAAAAAAAAAGAGATCCCTTGTCCACCTCCTCCTCCTCTTCTCCTGCACACACAGACACACACATGCATCTTGTTAGGACTAAAAATGATTCCTTTGCCTCGTTACCAAGGTGAAGTTTCATGTTTGACAAAGGGCTTGTTACTAATCGGTTCCTAAAATTAGTTGTTAGTCAATCTTCTAGATCCAAAACCTCTTTTGTCTGAAACGTGGATATATACTTATGCTGAATTAAAACTGTTTTCCATTTAAAATGCTGAATCCATTCAAACACAACGTCCAAAATTAATTTCCTATGCTTTTTGAAAAACCTGTTTTTTAAAGGCTATTCGGCCATATTGGTGCATGAGACAACTGAGCTCTGCTCTGAACAATGTTAACATGATTTAAAGCAGCTGATCTAATTTTTCACTCATCTTTGAGCATCCATTTCTCATCCCTTATCCACTCTCTTGGCTCAATCCCACTCACCCTTTCTACCCTGTGCCTGCATTACTCCTTTTCACTCTCACACATTCCACAAATGCTCACGCATTCGTCTGCTCCCTGGCACACTGACCGAATTTCTTTTTGTTTGACAGCCACTGCAAGAGTCCCTTTTATATCCTCCTATTTTCTCCCAGCTCCTCAATTAGCCTTGAAAATGAATTTGCCATAACCAGTCATCTCCATGCTTTTTAAAAGCAGCCGTTTACCCTTTTAATGGTTTCATTGGTCCCTTAGTTTTCTAAAGTAGAAAATGTGCTCTAAATTTACTGACATGAGAAAAACTTTTCTCACAGGTCCTTCGTGGCAGGAGCAGAGGACAGTGTTATGGAAATCTACCCCTCTATTCTTTCATTGTTTGGAGGTTTAAGTGTGCAAGCCCCCCACCCTGCCTCTATTCAAAGGGAGGCGTGAGACTGGTATGTGCCAGTAGGCACTTGTGGAACTTGTTTTTTTTTAGTTGGATGGAGGGAAAATAAACACGGATGAAGCTGTTTTTTTGTTGTGAATTAAAAGTTCTTTGAGTTTTTTTCATCCTTATTTTATGAAATAGAGTAAAATGGTAACCACTATATCTTCATTTAAACCCTTCCACTCTGGTTCTGACTTTATTTGTGAGGTCATTGAACCTTCACCACAGTCCTGAGTCTTTCACCATCTTACAGGTTCTCTGTCTGTACTGTCACATCCAGCTCCATCCAACTTCCCATTACCTTCTCTTCCTTTGCTGAAGTAGAGAATCCCCCAAAGCATGATGCTGCCCCCACCGTTCCTCATTGTTGGGGTTTTGTGATGACTGATGAACACCAGATAATAGCGTTCTGTGTGCAGTTTTGGTTGATAAAGCATTGCTATGTGAAGCAATCAAAGTCTGGAATGCAGTTTTTCAACCGTGGAACTCCTCTACAGCTATAGCTGTTTGTTATCTAATGTTGTCTGTGTTCTCTGGTAACATTTTACGCATTTGCTTTGAGGACCATTACTAGGCAGATATTTTACTGGATTTTTAAATATTTAGGAGTATTGCAGTAAAGGGAGCCAAATAAATATGCATTTTAACATCGTGCCTAATATATTATATTTAAAATAGCATTTTAAAACCCTGTTCTACTGTTTACAATATGATGTTTGTTGCTGTAGTGTTTAAAAATGTGGAAAAGTAGAATTATCTGTGCGAGGAAATGTCTGTTTTCTATCTGCAAGCTCTCTAAACGGTCTTAAAAAGTCTGCTAATCTTTTTATTTTTTTAATATTCTAGGTCCTGATAACTAAATAAATGAATTTATTTATATCAAATGTAAATGATTAAAACATTAACAATCTATTATCTTTTGTTTGACTGCAGCACAGTTAAAATTTACTTGATCAGATTATTTCATTTTTAAGTTACTAATAGAGAACTTTACAGAAAAGCTGCTTTAAAAAAACTGTATGAAGATCAAACTTCTTTATTATTGGGAGATAAAGATATAAAATTAGCTGAGTTAATATTTGCACTTTTTTATCCTTAATGTTAAAATGTGTGTCAGCATCCATGGTTAAGAAAGTATACATCTAAAAGACTAATAACTGTTCAACAAGAAGAGCTGTTTTTACTGCTGAAAATACCCTTTTAGTGATACAGAAGATTTTTGACAAATCCCTTTAGAAAATATGTTTCTGTAATTAAGTATTTTTTCAATTTCTGCCCAGACTTTGGATCCTCATAAAGAGCAACAAATAATGTCGTTTTATATTTTTGTCAAGGTAATAGAGCTTCAGCAACATCTTAAAAGAGGAACACAGGATAGATAACTATGATGTAAAATAAACAAGAATCAAACCTAATAACTATTTCATTTACTTTAGGATTTGAAATTTGAATCGGGAAATGGCACAAACCCAACTTCAAATTGGAAAACCAATGGTATTTAACCATGTTAAGATTAAATCTTATGTCATGTTTCATTGATCACCAAATTTAGATGCCAGGCGGCCATATTGGATTCAAAGGACTGTAGTTAGTGAGAAACATTCGACTTCTGTGGACCTTTTGGTCAATTTTCCTAACTTAAATTTTGAAAAACTTTGAGCCTCTGATTAAAAATTAAGTGTGCAATTAAATGACATACTTCAATTAATTAAGCCATAAGAATGGTGATTTCTTTTTTTTTTTTTTCGTTTTTACAACACAACCCTGATAAAGTTGAAAACGTTTACACAGAGCTGTAACTTATTACATAAAGTTTAGGAACAATCAGTAAGATTTAATATGTTTATATTTATCTTATAGAAAAATGGTTTTGTTATTCTTCTTAAAATTAAGAAGAAGTCACTACTCTGGCTTCTGAAATAAGGAAAAAAGAACAATTGACATGTTTTAAGCATGTAAAAGCTCAATGCATTGTCTTTAATCAATACAGCTTATATACACCCATGTTTTCAGTCATCTTTCAGTCAATCTTTACAACTATACAATGTTCCAAATGTCAGTATAAAAGAAATGGGGGTAAAGTTAGCATAATAGCTTTTCTGGTGTCATAATACAGCATTCTGTCAAAGGGAAGGAAGGCCAACGCACCCCCCAGGATAAAACAGGGTTCCATTGCACTCTCAGTGAGGTAAGGGGAAGAATGATTGAACCAACCAGGCCTTTAGAGCGTGACATGAATGTGCAACGCTTTGCTTTGCACTTTACTCGAAATCTATACCGAAAACATCACTTTTGGCTGTTTATACCTTAATTTAAATAGTCTTTTTTTAATTTGTTGGTAAAAAGTTCCCCTTGTGGTAACTCCTATCTATCCATCCCCTTATTAGTGCCATTCCTGCATCCTAGCTGAAAGGCCTGCCTCCCCACAGCGTGCATCTGTCCCCCGCTGTTTTCTGCAGCTTAGTCTCCTGGTAACAGACAACAGCCACCACAGCGCTCCAGGGGCACAGAGTACATTTGCATCACAGCAGCTTCATGTAGCTACACGGCTCAGTCCGAAGCTACAAGGTCACAAAGCTGCTGCCTTGAAAACGCCTCTGCAGACTTCAAGCACACAGGCATGAGGAGAGAAGGCCGCGCCCTAACCCATCAAGGGTTCAAGATGGTGCGTACCGCTGCTTCTGAAAGTGTCTGCTGTCACTTATTTTTATGGGATTGCAGAGTATTACCAGCACCACAGTTACGCTCTGAAACTATTTGTTAATATACTTTTCATATAAATTTTAAATCCATATTCACAGTTATAAAAGGTGTAAAAATGACCCAAAGTGCTATTTACATTGAAATATACTTTACAGTTTTACAATTACAAGATTTGAAGAAACGCAGTCGGTCTCACTTGTAGTAAACATTTTAACGGTTTTTCAGTTGTCTTGGTGGAGTAAATTGACCAGGAGTTTAAGAGCAGAGTTAAGAGTCGTACAGCGCAGAGATCACTTTCCAGAGCAGCGGCACCATTTCAAGCTGTTCGTTCTTTAGCATCCATCCTCCATCTCCTCCTCCCTTTTTTTTGGCATCTTTTACAATTATTCAGAGGTACACCTGTGCACTTTATCTTTTCAGTAAAAAACTAAAATACAAAACAAGAAAACACTTGACTGTCTTCCCTTCAGGCTGATCCAGTGAGCAGTAACTGCAGATATTCTGCTGGCGACTGAGCCACTGTAGTGGGTGCAGGATGAGAGGGGTGATGGGAATGCAGCATTACATCTATTTTCCTAAAACCTGTGTTGTCTGTAATTACTTTCATGATTTGTCTTTGTAGTTATTGCTTGATTAAATGGCACATAAGCAGGAATTCTTTACAAAGAAAACAACAATTTTAGACAATTTTAGGATTATGTATGGAAAAATATGTAAAGTTGAAAAGGGGGGGGGGGGTAAATGCAGCATTGACAGCGCCTTCCAAAGATATTCTACATTTTGTCAAATTGAGCCCACAAAAGTCAATATATTTCATTGTGATTTCTTGTAATAAATCAACACAACATAGCAAAAATCTGAAAGGTGCGGTGTGCATTTGTATTCTGCCTTTTTTCGTCTAAATCCAGTAAATACATTAATTAAATACATCTGCTAACTTTATTAACCATCCAGTTGCGTCTTTATTTAACCTAAGCATCCATCCAGCTGTTCTTTAAAGGTTTCTAAAGGTTGCTCAATATTAGTAAACAAACAGCATCATGAAGACAACTCACCTATAATCACAGCTGACAGAAACATTTTTTTTCCCCCAAGCAACTAAAGAAATATTATGGTTAAACATGGTGCTGGTGGGATCATGCTGTGGGTATATTATGGAGCTAAATAGAGGAAAATAATTTGGATAAGTTAGCTTCACCTTCCAGAAAGGTGAATACTCTTTACACAGGCGTGTTTAAAGGCGGTCTTTGAGTTCCACCGTCCTGCAGGATTTCAATGTTTCTCAGCTTCAGTATAGCTGATTCTGATGATTGCCTTTCAGCAAAAGCCTGTTAATTAGCTATCAGTGGAAATCAGCTGTGCTGAGGCAGGGAAACCTCTAAAACCTGCAGGACTGCAGCCCTCGGGGACCGACTCTGAACATATCTGTTCTACAGCCACAGTGGTCAAAGTCCAGACTTTAATATCATTAAGAACCTGTGGCAATACTTCTTACTCATGATCTCCATTTTATCTGACATAGCTGAGTTATTTTCACATATAAAGAATGTTGAAAATTCACTTTAGATTTGCAAAGCTGGTGGAGACAACCTACTCTAGACATTTAGTGGAGGTTGAATACAAATGCACAGCGCAGATTTAACTTCTAAAACATGCACTTTTTGTGCAGATCTATCACATGACACACCAATGAAGCACAACAAATTGTGGCTCTGTAAAGTGACTAAACCTAGAAAAGTTTAAGGAGCATTAATCTTTTTCTGCACGACACAGTACTGTCACCTTTGGCAAATCTTTTTGCCTACACAAGAGCAATAGCCCTGTATACATCTGCTTATACATACAGCTGATAATACAGGAGTTAAAAAGGAAAGAAAAAGATGTCATCCATAAGCTTCATGTTGAATGTTAAGACAAAGGAGAGAAGAAACAATCAGTAGCGTACAGTAATAGTAAAACAGAACACAGTTGTGCTACAAGTGCTTAAATGTTCCTTGAAAGGTGTGGCCCCCATCCATAGTCCTTTACAGCAGCATGGAGAGAGGGGGAGTCAGCTGACCTAACCCCCCTTGACTGCCAGTGTTGGCACATTCCTCTCTCATCGTTCGATGGACGTTCCCCCCCACCGCGACGTGTTTTCTGTGACAAACACCAACTCATCAGGATCCCTCCAAACCAACCAGGCTGACGGGTAACTGCAGAGCAGTTGGTAGAGATGCAGCTATTTACAAACACGCCAAATGCTTGATAATTCATAGAGTGGTTGAGTTAATTACTGAAACAACCAGCAGATGTTCTTTCCCACAGGTATTTTCATTTGGAGAGCAGAAAAAAAAGGCAATCAGCAAAAGGCTTGAAACAAAACGTTGGCAGTTTACATTCATGCCTGCGAGTGTCCGTTCTCCATGCTGTCGCTCAAGAACGCCACACTCACAGTTTCCGTTTGTGCAGTTTAGAACAAAATGAGCTTCGTTCCTCGTTAATAACACAAAAGAGAAAATAATCACAATTACAGATATTCCATCCATTTTTTAAAATAAATGTGGCCGCCCAAAGAAAGAAATAAAAAAAAGAAAATCCCCCCCACGTTTCTTCAACATATACATCCTGACTTCAGCCTCAGCTCAATAAGTACCGGTAAGCATTCTACAACAACAACAAAAAAATAAATTTTTGGATTGTACATCAGCAGAATATTAGAAAAGAAAATGGTGCATAACTAAATATACAGCATATGTTTGCTAACACTGATGTTTAATACAAGAAACTACATTCTAACATTAGATATGCAAGACCTCAAAAAGAGGCAAGACTTCACAGAGCAAAGCATTCGAGTGAAGTAGAAAACAATACATTGCTCAGACCACAAGTAAATCAATGCATTATACTACAGTCAGTGCACTTCATCTTTAGGAGTCAGAATTTGCCCTTATACTTGGTTAAGCCATGCAGTCCACACCCTTGATTCCAGTGCATAAGGTCTTGGGCAAAAGCTTTTTGAATGATGTTACCTTCCTTCTTAATAGGTCTGTCAGCATGACTGAGTTATCCCAGAATGTGTAATAAAGCATTTAAATCTTCTTGTTAAATTGGAAAATGACACATTTAACCTTCTTGATCTGAAAGACCCGCTGGCCTGCATCAAAGTAAGACGTCTAACAAGAGAATCTTCTCCTTCAGCACAGATGATTCTTAGTAAAACAGATCAGTCTGATTATTGTGATGCCTCAAACTGAGCTGTGACTCTTAACGCGTTGCCTGTCATCTTGTTTTGTTTTGTTTTGTCGGATGGGAGCACAGTGTTAAATCAGGAAGATGTTGGTTGAGGAGTGAGGAAACGGATTGGCTGTGTAACAGAAGTGTTGCATTTCACTTGGTATGAATGACAAGAGGGATTCATTGAGAAGAAACCATTAGAGTCTTAAAATTGTGGTTTTGATAGATAATTCATTTTGGTTTTATGTCCAATGTTGGGTTAAGTCAAATATAAATCATTATGGAAAGGCTGTATAATTCATAACTAGCTGTGATGAAGGCATGGGCCAGTTACAGCTATCTAGATTATCCCAAGGTTTTAAAAAACAGATTTTAAAATAAAAATAAATAAAATGCCCTTTTAAGCAGCTGACTGTCAGCTCTGCTGGAGCAGATACCCCGACTAAATAACCTAATCTCAGCTCCCAGGTATACATTTCTTTGCAATGAGAACCTAATTAGCAGGTTTTTAATCCTGCATTTCTTAAGATTACATGAAGGTCACAACTAAATTTAGTTATTATAACTTGAACCATCATATAATTTCCAAAGCAGCAGAAATAATAGTCGATTTGGGGTTTAAATGAAGCCATTGAATCGTGTGAAAATCTTAGTTTTTATGATTTTGTGTAAACACTGTAATGCAGTGAAAGCCTGGTGTTTTTATTTAAGGTTCCACCCTGAGAATCTCATACCAGCCCATGCCTAAAAGGTAAACGTGTTTTTTGTACGTTTAAGAACTTAAAGTATAGCTTCTACTTTGGTCCCCTGGTGCATCGGGTTTTGTAAACACCTACAGGATTTTGTGATTTGTGCTTTTTCTGCACCATGGTCCAACGCCTTAAAAGAGTTTGTTTTTTTAGGCTGGTCTAACAACAGGATAATGAAAGTTATATGCCTCTATTAGCTGCTTTAAACTGAGACAAAGCCTCTAGATGTGGCTTAAAGCTTCTAGATAACTTTTTACCGCCTCGTGTAAGTTTTAGGTACGTAGTTGTGGCTGGTAGCGATAGTTACAGATCATTCTTACCATCTTAGATCATGTAAACAAGGTTTTCTGTGAGCCATGTGGTCAGAGTTCCTCCCCTTAAGTTATATTTGCATTCAAAGACACAATTCATGCAGATGGTACAGTTCTTTTTTTTTCTTTTTTTAAGGAAAAACATGGAATATTTTCTCTTATATATCTATATATATATATATATATATATATGTATATTTCATATAGTACATGTATTTTTTCACCTATGCATTTCCAGGGCAGGCACCGGACACACACTGGGTACAAAGGGCATGCCGCTCTTGCATTGCTGTTTGCTTTCTACAGTTGGGGAGCTGGTGGGCACAAGGTCGTCCAGGCGGTTGGTAAGCGTAATCTTTATTTCTGCACCAACTCTTAACCAAGCACGCACAGTATGTCGCTCTGTGTGCTCACGCAACCATTCATCAGGTGCAACCTGACGCCACTCGGTCCCCTAGATGCAAAGGTGTCGTCACACTGATCTCAGATTGGGGACCGGGTCTTGGAGTGGTCCAACCAGTTTGAAATGAAATAATTAAAGCTTTCCAGCAAGGCTTGGAGGGGGGCACATGCAGAGATAAGAAGGTTATGAATAGGGTATTTGGGCTTTTTTGTCCAGCCCAGGGTTGCAGACAGAGTCATGAGTAGGTCAGAGGGTAAAGGAAAGTAAGGTATGGTGCTGATTTTGGGACAAATTATTTATTTTTTCTCTTTATGTGCTTTTTTTTTTTTCCTTATGCTTTGCTGTACATTTAGCATTATGAAAACGGTCTGATGACACAACTAAGGCTCAGAGTCACGGATTGCTGAATCTCCTGCTGGTTGTTGGGTCGGAGTAAGCAGGTAGGAGAGAAACGTCGATGTTTGCTACATGAGTATTCAGCTCTATACACAGTAAAAACACACAGGAGGGATGCTCATGCCAATACATGGGTTCTAATACTGGTTTTGGAAATTTGTGCTCAGTCACGTAACTGTACATTTCAAAGTATTGCTAAGTTGTCGTGTTTTACCCAATAACCTGAATGCGTGTTAAGTGTTTGACTGAAGCTACTTCGTCATTGTCGTGGTTTTGACAGTAAAATTTGCATATTTCAACGTGGAGCTTCGTTAAAGTTAGAAAATTACAAAACCTTTTTTTTTTTGTCAGTTAGGCTGTTAACATATTCAAAATGTTAGACTTTAACTTGATTTGATCAGTAAACAATTCATAAGCACACATATAAAGTAGTTTAAGTTAGATAATATTTCATTTTTAGCCCATCCCACCCCGAAAAAAAAAAAGAAAGATTCAAATTAAATTTGTCCTCAAACACTCGACAGAGGCCTGGTGTGACGTAAAACACACCTGCCTCATGAATCCACAAACATACGCCATGGCAAGCCCTCAGTGATCACACAAACGCAAGCTCTGAGCGAGAAAGCTCCACCCTCCCCTCACCTTAAACCACAAACCCGTCCACAGAACCAGAGAGATAAAACGAGTGCCGCATTGATTCAATTATATTAAAAAAAACTCAGAATTGGCGATTTGTTTGGAGGAACTAAAGAGGCAGGTGTTTCGAATGGGTCACTGTGTTTATTAACACGTACAGGATGAATGCAGCTTATTCTGGTTAACATCCTGAATCTCACCGTGGGAATCTGCTCTCACTGGGCTTCAATATACTTTCTTAAAACAGAGGCCAGCTGCCAAATTACTTCTATATGTGTGTGTGGTGGGGTGTGTCTTACGCAATATGTAAGTTTTGCCAAGCTAACTGCCAGCACTGGTAAAGTTTAACAATTTGCTTTTAACAAAGTCAATGACTTTCTTTTCCCAGGGATGTAAAATGAACCGATGCATATATCTTCATCCTCAGAATGAGGAAGACGAGAGCACGTGCCGTTAATAAAGGTAGATGTTGGATGATTTTCTTTGGAGATAAGGATTGCAATGGGATCTATTGGTAGATGTTTGAAACTAACGCTGTGTTTAAAAAAAGTTTGATCTTAATGTGTCCTGTGGAAATCCTCATCATTTTGACATTGTAAATAAAGATGAGGTTCCTTAATTTTAAGGATTTCTTTACACATCTTTGCTGGAGCTGTTAAATATTTTCCCACTGCCCTTTCCTGTCCGCCCCCCCCCTGCATTGCAGCAGAATGTATTTTCCTTGTTGCATTCAATTTACCAGGGGGGAGGGAGTTGATCTGAGCCACATCCTCTAGGGTCAAATGCCGGATTGTGTTTGGTTATGATGCCAGACAGTTATCCCCTAAAGGTGCCTCGTTTTATTTCTCTAGTAAACAGGGAGGGAGAAAAATGCCAAAAAATAAAAAATAGCTTAATAAAACTGAAAAAATATATATTCCACCAGAGTAAATATAAAACACTAAAACAACATTAAGAACCGATAGAAAAACATTAGTGACTTCGCTAGGAAATAGTAAAAGTGTTAAACATATCTAGAATGGCACAAAATAAATAAAAGCTGTGGGAGGAGAGGATGCAGTTGGGGTTCAAAGGTCAAGGAGGGTGTTTGCTCTCTCTGTCCCTCTTTCCTTCCTTTCCATCTTCCCCTCCTCCATCTCTCTCTCTCCCTCCTTCACCTCTCACTCCTCACGGAGCTGCAGGCGGTAGCGGCTGTGGCGGATCTGAAAGAAGAGCCTCTCCAGCGGCGATCGGCTCATCCCCGGTAGCCTGTAGTCCTCGCTCTGGCTCGTCCTGCAGAAGCCCAGCGATTCGTACAGCTTGTGGGCGGCCAGTTTGACGGCGGTGGTACCGAGGACCACCGCGGCGTAGTTGTTTCGCACGGCGTACTCTAGAACTCGACGGCCCAAGGCCTTTGCGATCCCTTTGCCCCTGTAGCGAGAGTCCACTGACATGCGTCGCAGCTCCACTGTGTTGTCGTCCTCGTGGCCCTGCGCTGCCACGATGCCAACGACGCGCCCATCAAGAACTGCCACCCAGAAACAAGAGCCTGGTGGAAGGAAAGAGGAGAAGTTTGATTAAATTGCAGCCTCAAAACACAGCAATCCTGTAGCTTAGCAATAAATTAGTAAGCTTAACAAGAATACACTGAAATTATCCAATAAGCAAAAACATATGTCAGCTTTTTACCACTGTCCCACTCTGTTAGTTCTAGTTCATATTAACTATGCAAAAATTAAATAAGATAAATAAAAAAATAAGCACATGGCTTGAAGATTGTTTAACTACTGTTTCTGGCGTATGGGCTAAAGCAGCACTGTATTGTTTTAGATTTAGAAAGGACCATTTCCTAAAACCTAAAACAGTAATCCTATTATATTTAACTGTTAAAACTTTTTATATCTATAAATCAGTTAAATAGAAACTTGTTTTCAGATCCAGGGGAAGCATTTAGGACTTGATTTTAGTTTAATCAGATTGAAGGCCTCTTTGAATACCAATTATTGGAGTCCCTGACTACATCCATCTCCTGGACCCTGTTACTTGTCTACTATCAGTAATTTTATATCAGCTGTGCTGATAGTGTTAGCCAGTGAGGGCCTATTTTCATGCAAAATTAAGCAAATCTACATTTTTTTTCTAACGATTAAATCTTTGACAATGTTAAAATGAAAGAGACTGTGTTGGCTGCTGCAGCACGTCAGTCTTTAAAATATGATTTTCTTACAGCTGCCCATGCCTGGAGCCAAAAAGCACACAAAAACAGTAGGTTTAAGCTATAAGGTCAAGTTGTTTTGTTGTTGTTTTTTTTTTGTTTCATCTGGGCATTCCAGGCATACCATAAAGAGAGGGTGACATCCTATAGGGGCCAGTTTACGTTAGCGCTGTGAGTGACTCTAATAAAGCCAGACACATTGCTGTGTTCGTATGACCATCGAGTATTTGGATTATTAGTATTTCAGTGCGTTGGTTCATGTGTAGAAACCTGTGCTCTGGAAAGTCTTGATACACAGCACCAAAGGATAGATAGGCGTTGCTTTGGAAGGCTGCAGCAGCCCTTGGCAGACATACTTAAAGGCGGCCATATCACCCGCACAGGGTTAGGTCGTAAGTCAGGCACAGGTGGGATGCAGGAAACCAAGTCCCCCCAACCCAACCCCTACTCAAACTCCAGACGTGTAGGCTAAGCACTGGACCCGGCCACCCCAGCAGTTCTACCTCATTGGGTCAGTCGGATATAAACAGACATCCCAAGAAAACTGTTCAACATACTTCTGCTCGTTCTCATAGCTCATGCTCGTACTTGACAAGGTTATTACTATTATTTTTGTTTTACTTTTTTTTACTTTACGTAGAGTTGCAGTGTCTGAGTTTCGCTGGATGCCGGTTGCTTCTGAGTATCCACCACATCCATCTTGAATATAACGCTTTGATTGTCTGCTAGGTTGAACCCGTTTAACGTTGACGCGCAGTGGCGATTTCTCATTGAAGACTAGGGAGGCTAAACCTCCACTGTATATTTTATAAAATACTTGGTTAAATATGCATTGTTAAACTTCATAAATGTTGTCATTAAACTGCATTAAATAACTATGGTCATAATAACTCAAATGTGGCTGATTTCCTGAGTATGTTGCACGTTAAGCAGCTGTTTATTCTGCTCTCAGAAGCGATCTTTCCACTCTGGAACAGAGTGCAAAGTGGATAGAGATTTCACTCTGCCGTGGTTTCTGGAGTTTATTATTTCAGAGCGCTTCACAGCAGCTATGTTCACCTGTTGTAGTAATGTGGTTTATGAGTTTCAACATTTGTTAAAGCAGTACGTTTCGTTTTGATTTAATAAACACCACAGACCCCGTTACAGAGAGTAACAGCCGCCACTGAAAGGCTACAGGCTTATGGACACATCAGCGCTGAACTACTGAGTTGTCAGTCTAATCATTAAATAATGTTTTACTCGTAAATGGTCGAATAAAAAGGCTATTTTAAAGATATTTTTCAGTAAAAGCTTACATAATATCTCTGTATGCATCAGATTTAGACTTTGTATGGAAAAAAGGCCCACTCTTGAAAGATTTACATCCCTATTGACAATAAGTGGACAGATCCAGTTAATCCATCTAATTCACAACATACTTTTATTCCAAATTCCTTTCCCCGCATTTTACATAAACACAGACCATTCTTATTTTATAATGAGAGCTAATTTCTTTCAAAAACATTACCACAATATTACACGCCTTATGCAAAAGATGTTTGTTTTGATGGAAAACCCACAAAACCTGACAAACGCAGGGGTTCATTGCAATGGCTGGATGTGCAGCAGCTGTTAGAAGAGGGAGGAGGAACATCCTGCTCCCACATTTTAATAGCATTGGGTTAAATCTGCCTAAAAAACCAGAAGAATGAAAACCAGAGGGACTTGATTAATGAGCACTGTCTAATGTCTAACGACATTAGCTATTCATTAAGACTCCACTGATTAAAAGCTCTGGGATTACAGATGGTCAATATGGAGTCAGGGGCTAAGTGGAAAGCAAAGAAACCTATACTGACCGAACTAGAAAGAAATTAAACACAGTTTTGACCTGTTTCTTTTTACTGTCATATCCAAAAAGATAAAAGATACACAGATAAATATAGACATTTTGCACTGTGTTGGAAAGTTGTCACATACTGAATGAAAAAAAGACTTTCGTATTGAGATACAAGGTCAGAGCAACCTGTCAGCAGATTATGTAGCTCAACCATGAGAACCACTATAAGATCCAATATCAGCTTCTTCAAGGTTAAAATTCCTCAATGGTGTTTAAGGTATGAATAGTGTTAACATTTCCTTTTCAAAATGATAATAAAGATTAAACCGACTCAACGTAAGAACTTGCATACGAAGTAGAAAAGCCACGTTATAAGCTCGACCCTTTATGTTTTTTCTGTTGTTAGGTAACTAAATCTAACGTCATGCATTCACTTCAGTAACCTTGTTTTTTGTTATGTTATCCTTTCTTTTTTTTTTCTAAAATACCATCTGTTTGCTACAGATAACGTAAATCAGACGCTTCTATAAGGGGCTGAGTCTGACCTCTGGACCTGCTGTCCTATTTCTCACTGCTTTTGAACTACCGCTCTACTGTCATTTATTCCATCTGAGCATCTCGCTGCGTCACAGATAGAAACCGCTGATGAGGACGGCGTCAGCCTCTGCTGGAGTCCAAGGCGTTAGCAAGGATTGCAAACCTGCGTTAAGCCGATCCGGACTCCTCTGTTACAGAATGAAAGCTTTTTTTGATGCACGGGGTGCAGCAGCGGGCGATCCCATGTTCCCTCCTGCCCTCCAAGCTGGCAAACAGTGGCTCACTAATCTGGATGCTCTCGCTGAAGCTTGCCTTTCTACAAAGGGCTTATGTGATAAACATCCTCAGAACACGGATTGAATAAAAACAGCTTTAAAGGTCATATTTGAATATCAAAGATAAAAAAACTTTCTATACAGAAGAATAGACTCGTCATCAAATTTGCCTTAGGGAAACAAGTAGCTCATTCATATAAATCAGAATAATGGGATCAGAATAATTATTGACCAGAACAAAGTTATTTCCGATCTATTTTCTACCCTTGCTTCGTTACCAATGTCCTTATTTTGTTCCTCAAACTTGACATCCAACCACACTTCCTTCCTTGTTTCCTCTCCCATCTTACTGACCTTCATTCGTTCTGTACTGCTTACGGTAACTTTCTCCCTTAAAATGTACACTTCTTATGCTTTGCGTTTTCTCCTTTCTTACTGTCTGTCTTTAACAGTTTGGATCTAGTCCTCCTCTTCCATCACATTTACGCAATGCCCCAGTATAACCTGCAGCTTAACATTAACATTTCTGGAATGGGTGAGCTAAAACATTGTAAATCGACTATCCGTACCTTGAAATCAACCTATTTTAGGGAACTTATTATTAGGTGAGGAGGAAAACATCCAACCAGGACGATGTTGGATCAGCAGGCAGTTGAATTACTGTTTATTAAGGATTAGTTTACTAAATATCAGTGAGGCTTGGATATATTTAAGCATCTGTGAATCAGAGAAATCAACAATGTATATAACCTTGGTACATAATCTTTGTCTTTTAGAGGTAGGTAGTGGGGTTATTTTTAATATTATTTCATTTAGAACAAAGAAGAATATAAATAAAGGACAAAACATCAATGGAAATCAGGTGTTGATGTCTTTTGAATAGATATGGTTGCCCTTTAAAGTCCCCTCACAACTCTTAGAATCGACTTTTATATTATGAAATGCAAGTTTATTATAAGTAAAAGTCAAAGCTGCAAAGTCAACCCTTTAGCCCCAGCACTTATATTATGCTTCTGTGTGTTTGGTGGGAGGGTTACGCCTCCATGAAAAAGCTCCTGACCATCTGTCTGAACTGAGCTTGTGCCAGCAGTGAGGACAGCAAGCAGCGCTCTGGCCCTCTGCTCAAAGGATGGTGCACATTACTTAACCCTGTGTCTATAGCTCATATCACATGAGACAAAGAGCCACAGTGTGAAAAGAGAAAACTAGTTGAACCTTTGCATCTCATCCCTCTCCTTTTCCCCTGTATGTTTCTTTTTCAAGTAAGTGAAAGTGGCCTATTGACCACAGCCCTCAGAGAGCTTTATATATCTTCCTCTAAGCTGCGCTAACATGATCTGAGAACCTGCAGGAAAGAAAAGCTGTTCTGGGAGGACTGTAATAACCAAACTGACCTGGATTAAAGGATCTGCTTTCTTGGTTTTATTTTTATCTAGTCAAAGACGACATATTGATTACACAGCTCCACATTGGTTTACTTATAACATTTATATGACCTGTTTTTGTTTTGTTTTTTTCAAAAGGGACGCCTTTATGAAAAGCAAACAACAGCAAACCCAATTCTGACTTATCTCAATCTTTTACTTTCTTTTAAATATGATGAACAGATTTTAGTAATTTGCTGAACTATTGATAGTTAGCAAAGTGTTTCTTTGGAAAAGAAACTGTCACAGTTTAATTGTTAGGAATCTGCCATTTGA